AAAAATGAAAAAGGCGACCGTGGCTCGAAATAATCGCCGCTGAAAGGTGGGGGGAAAAGTCTGGGTTGCCGCCCCTCAGATGGTGAGGCACGCTAGAGAAAGTTAACCTTTCGTACCGCGGCTGTAGTTCGGCCGGGTGTAACGATCTGTCATCCTGCCTGCAGCAGAGTGCACCTGCCCTCAGAGGTCAGCTCTGGTTTCTATGGAAACAAGGTTAGCCTTTAGGTAACCGGAGTGCATCTCTCTGGGTTTTAACAGAGCATTGACTGAATTGCACAGGCAGTCTAATCGCTAATCTTTGTAACTAGTTCCAAGTGTGGGACTAGAGGGAGACGAAAATATACATGACCAGTTAGTATAGTCTTTGAAAATAATTGTGACTCTTCTGCTTGAGATATCAAATGCTGTGGGAATGAGCCCTGTTTTCCTGATCACTCGCTTGCTTCTTCAAATTCGTTCTTCTGTGAACCATGAAAATATGCTCTAGTATATGTTAGGCAGGCCGATTTTGTATCCGGTTGTTTTGACGTGTTCTGAAATCAGCTAACATTCTAGCAGGGCCTGTGATTGTCAGAATGTTGTTCATTCTTTAAGGTCAGCATCATGCTCCAAATGTATCTTTCATGGTTTTAACCCACAGAGCCTTCCACCAGAGATCACGAGTTCCTGTTTTATGATTCTTCGCTAGCACTGGCAGAAATAATGAAGCATTACTGTTCTTTCCCTGATCATTCTTAATGAGGCTTTAATATTTAAGTACAGGATGGTTGTGGTGGCTGGGCACTGCATTGCTGTGTTGAAATAAATAAAGCGGCTGTTTTTGTTGGTAGAAGAAGCTCATAGAACTGTAGCAACAGTGCTAAAGACCAGCTGCTTCAGCATAGCGTTCAAGAGTACAGCGTTTCATACTGATTTGATCTGCATCTTCTTGAGTGACACCTCACCCTCCAGCTAATAGTATCACTCTTTTTCACCACAGCAGGAGGTCACACAGTTCTTGTAGACTAGAGTGAGAGGCACGGTTATTTATGGGAGGGGGGTTGAGGGTAGTCTAGAACATGAGGACCACGGAGCAATGAAAAATCTGATGTTTCATCTAAAGGGCGGCAGCATTAATAATAAAAAAACTTTCCCTCATGCATTAGGGGTGATTAATGACAGGCGTCTGGCAGGGCAGCAGGCCCTATAGCTGCTCAGCTGAGTCCCAGCCTTCAAGCATCCTCCTAGCCAGAGCCCATGCAGAGCGACACTGGTCAATACTTTTTAATTAAGTTGTGGGTTTCCATGCAGCTTGAGGTGTAAACAGTCGGCTGTGTGGTATCACTTAATGTACAGTTGACAGAAAACTATTCATAAAGGTGTGCGCCTTAAAAAGATCCATTCTTTAAATAGCCAGTAGAATGACCTTTTTTAAACCCTGTCCTAAGCGCAATAGAAAATGTGTTTTAGTCACCGATCTAATCGTAATATTAGAATGATGCTTATTAGAAAGGCTGCTTAGAATATTACTGAGCTGAAGAATGAGTCTTTTGGATAATAAAATCATGCTGACAAATGAATGATGATGCTCAGCTGTAGTCCTTTTGTGACCAAAACTTGTATTTTCTAGGTTAGAACTTGCTTCTGTGACTTTACTTTGTTTAAAACAAAAATGCTGTTTAGAAAAAAAAAACGTCCACTGGGACAGCGCCTGTTGTGGTTACATTTCTTCTTTTTTTAAGCTTGTCCGTTGCAGCTGCCACGTCTCTGGCACGACTGTGGCTCTGTGCTCCGAGCGTTTGAGGTCGATAAGCCTGTCAGAAAGTGGAAAACTTTACCCATGAGTCATCTGAACTCCCGACAGAGGGCTCGATGCAGAGGAAGTTTAGGTTTTTATTTCTCTTAATGTATCTGTACTCATACTTTTCAGAGTCTGCTTGCAAATAAAAAGTTGATTCATAGCACGACCTCTTTCTTTTTGCTTCATACCATACCGGCCACTCAAGTCCCTTGAGTGTGGGCTGCTGAAACACGTTTTCAGCGTGGTTCCGATCTAACCTCCAAAGCAAAAATGCCAAGGTAACTTTCAGTTGTTTGCAGAAAAAGATTATTCTTGCTACAATATTTTTGTGGTTGTTCCGTCAACTAAATATTTGCCTTCTCCTTGGTGTTCATAGAACGTGCTAATCCGGATGCCAGCCTGACTTGGCTGTCCCAGTGGTGGAAAGCTGTACAGTATGGGTTGATCCCAATCCAGATAAAAAGTGTGTATTATGTAAGCTATAACTGTACTGTGGCTATAGATAGTGTGATAGTGAAACAGGAACAATCATTTTTTTGGTCTGTTATTCACGTATTCTTTTATAAGTTATTATATATTGCTGCTGATCACTCTTTGCTCTGGCGATTAGCAGGTCAACATGAGCTTACGCATGTTCCTCTCTGTGGCAGTGTGTGGACGGGGTGCCAGGCCAGGACACCTCCTCCCTGAAGCGCGTGGCAGTGGTGGAGGACTTCTTCGACATCATCTACGCCATGCACGTGGAAATTGGCACCGACCCCAACAAGGCCCCCAAGCACGCTGGCCAGAAGAAGACCTACAAAGCAGTAAGATAAGCCCGTCAGCCCCTTCCCCAGCCATTTGGACTTTTCACCTCTGACTCTCCTTTAAGATTCTCCACCGCTGTTTTCCAGTGCCTCTTAGAGACATGCATCAGCAAATAGCAATTACAGGAACATAGATCTGCACTTGTAGAGTTTGTAGGTCATTAGCAAGGCGTGTTATCTGCACAGTGCTTAATTGTGGAGTGGCTGCAAAAACAGAGTCTCTCTAGTGGCAGATTGAGGCAGAAATCAAATTTGGGTACAGTCTGAACGGAAGTTAAAATACAGGCTGGAGGGATAAACAGTTCAAACTAAGCAAGGTAGAAACTCTGACTTCTCACAAAAAAATATTTTCTTTAAATTTGTTTGCCAAAGCCAGTATGTTGTGTGTTTTGAATACAGATTTTATTTTAATTTTTTACAACGTGTTGGATGTTATACTTTGCTCGCCCCAGATGAGACCCTCTAAATAAGAAGTGTAGTCTTGCAGATGATGTTCTAGAATATTTTTGTCTCCTGCTTCTTTCTGAAGCCATTCATTTATTTTTAAATTCTTATGATATCTTATTTAAACTCAAGACAAGTGTCAATAAAACCAGTGTTTTCTTTCAGAATGACAAATATTAGAATACAATGTGTCAATGGGACCCTGCTGTTTCAGCACTGTATATGACATTAATCTTTACCGTTACAGAGTCCTAGGCTGGTGTTCTTTTATGGGACAGAGCACAGTCGGTCAGTGGAGGGGTATTCTCAGCTAGACCACAAAGATTTACATATTCTAATCTATGCGTGAAATGTACTGTATAGTCGTGCAAATACCCCGTGCACGAATTGACCCATTGGAGTGTTTCTGTGCACGTTTTCAAGGATGCCTAAGAGACGCATTTAAAATAATGAAAATGTTAGATATCTGTTAAAACTGAGAAGTGAGACTCATGCTGAGCTAATACGATGATCAAACCAGTTCATCAGTTACAAGGAATGGGATGAATTCCAGAGCCCGCAGGATATTGACAGTGTCTGCACCTCCATTTGCTCATTTATTCCAATTAAGAAAGGCAGTGACGCAGATCCATGAAAATGAGAGATTTTTTTAAAAAAAGAGAAAGGTGTGACTTTTTTTTGTTTCATATTTTAGAAATGTTAAACATAAATCAGGAGGGATATTTTGATTTGGATTGCAAGTGTCTTGCTTTCTTTTTTCAGGGGACAGGGCTAGCCTTATGATTTTTTGTACAAAATGCTGTTTTTTTCTCTCTCCTGAATGGGTGCTTGATGCACAGAGGTTATGGGATCATTTAGATTAAGTGCATCATTTCACGAGTACAGAAATAGTCTTCATTTACTCTCTTTTGACAGATTATCAGAAAACACTTGTTACTGTATATTACAGTACAAAGGTGTGCATCTTTTTAAGTTAATTAGCCACAACATTATGACAGTGAAGTGTATCTTTTGTATAGTGTATACTGCAGTCAGAGTCCAACTGTAAAACAATCATCCTGTTCGGATACCAGAATTTCCACTGGGGCATGTTAAATTTTAAGTACTGATCTGAGATGCTTTGTCAGGTAGTTTTATCCCTTAGTGGAAGGATTTTCCCCCTCTTCTGGCCAAAGCAAATACTGCAGCCTTTGAAAAAATATCACTATTTTTCTGTGCCTTTTTCATTCCTGTTTTCTGTTCTCAGAAACCTAATATGTAACATGTTATCTTAGCCTGGTGTAGCAAAGCACAGTGAATGCATAAAGTCCATAGGAGGACATATAAATTAATGTGAAATATAAAGTAAAAACACATGAAAAAATCAAGATTACCTTGCAAATTGTCAAAATTAATCTTTCACAAAAGTAGTGACTGCCGGTCTAGACATGCCTATATAAACCCTGTGTGTCGCTCACTGCAACCTCTGCAATGGGGCCTGAAGAAAGGAATTAAAATGTGGGGATGACATGAAAAGTGTAGAGTAGTCCTTGAAAACACAGCTGGTGCTAATACTGTCAGACATTGGGAGGCAGAGGCTAATCGCAAGGAGGCTCCAGGGAATCCAGTTATAGACGTTACTGGAAAGCTGGAAAGAAACGCTAAATAAAATGAATCTTATCGGGAGAATGAAGGGCCTTGTGTAGCCGAGGAGGTGAGTTTCCAGGCAGCCGGTCTTGGCCCTGTGCTCCAGGAGGCGTCCTGACCGAACACGTCTGGCGGCAGGCGTTATTGAGAGCCGCAACAAAAACCGCCAGGGGTCCCGCGGCGCAGGGTCGATCCAAGGTCACCGGGGAATGCCAGCGGGGGAGCGGGAGGGAGCTGGCACTGGCGCTGGCGCTGGCACGGGGAGTGGGAGGAAGGGCGCCGCGCTCCTGTGAAGAGAGACCTCCTGCTCTCCGGATGGGGGCGGGAGGGGAGCATTCCTGTGGAACAGCGCTCGGTTCTCGTCCGCCCTGTGGCGGTGATGGCATCCCCGTCACGCGCAGCCCCTGGCACCTGATGGCCAGCTGGCAGGGGACCCGGGTTATTTAATTGTTTTTAACGAGCCTGCGCAGCTTTTGAAAATTGTGCACTGCAGCTTTTCAAATTAGTGTTCAAATTCTGGCTGAACTGCCTCACAGAACCAGAGAATTGACAAATTAAACACATTTAAGAATGTGTCTCTTTTGTTTTCAGTAGAAAGACACTTTTAGATAAGGTATCCTCCTCTGTGGGCTGAGGGAACAGTAAATTTTCTGTGTAGACACTCCTACATGGGGTGTAAAATTCCTTCTCCGCATCAGTAAGCAGGCTTGCATGAAATGTCTTGGAAAGCATCCCATACAAAGCCCATCATTTCTAGGATCAGGGTTCCGGGGCTCTTTTTGTTTTAAAGGCGACAAGGCACCAGCTCCCTCTGCTCTGGGAAACACGGACTGACAGCAGATCTCTCCCCTGAGGCAGTGGTTGACATTTCTCTCCGAGCTTTGGAGGGCAGTAACGGAAGGAAAAGCCGCTTTGGAATCCTGTGGCTCATAATCGGGGCCTGTCCACTCTGCAGGGCATTAAAGTCAAATGGAGGCGCGTTTCGTGGGGGAAAGTGAGAGGTCTTAGAAAGTGCAAGGGTGGCTGGGACTTCAAGAAGAGCACAGCACAGCCAGCCTAGCAGACCCACATGACTTTTTCGCAGACTTAGGGTGACAGAGCTGGAATGACATGACCTCAGCAGAGGCAGATTACACAGTCCGCGGGTTTTTTAGGTAGTTTTCCTTCTCTGCTTGGAGGGAAAGCCACAGTCACGGGTGAGAGAGAACTAATTGGGGAGCCTGTGCATACACAAGGGTTGCTCTAGCAAATTACCTGCCTTGGCAACAGGAAATCTGGCAAAGCATAAATAACAAAGCGGAAATAAAAAGATATAGCAGCTTTTTTTTTTCTGATTGCGTCAATATAAGACCACTAAAAAGTGTGCTTTTCTTTTCTCTATGCTTCATATTCTTTCATTCTTCTGAGGCCTTGAGCCACGAATGCTAGTTCTAGCCTTGAGCCTGAGTTGCATACAAAAAAATGTCATTACTAGACCACGTCCAGTGGAGGATAGTGGATTCACATGAGCACACTATCTGATGGCCCTTATCACGCAGATGAAATATTTCTGCAACAACAAGTCAAAATTAAACTGCATTCCAACTACATAGCGTAGGCTAACATGGCATTAAGTGTAAGCAATTATTTTTATTATTGCGTTTCAGGAGGATTGTTAAATTAGTATTTTCCTGAGCTTTACAAGACTATGTATGTTCTTTTATGTAGATCTGAGAAATAGATCGACAAATTCTAATTGCACATCCAATTGCATTGTGAAATGTGTTATCCTGATTTTGTGAAGATTGGGGGAAAAAAAAAAATCAAACACTGAAACAGCTGATTTTTTTCCCCCCGGGGCAGATTGCGGAGACGTACGCGTTTCTCCCGAGGGAGGCGGTCACTCGCTTCCTGATGAGCTGCCACGAGTGTCAGAAGAGGATGCACGTCAACCCCTGTGGAGTGGAATCCAAAGGTACGGAAGATGGACTTGATCAGTCAGCGGCTCTGGATGAAACGGGGGCTGGGGGAGCGGTTCCCCTCGGAATTGTAACTGGTCGGTCAGTCCCAGTTCGGCACTGGAGCTGAAATTTAAGGTTCAGAGCAGGAGTTGACCGACTGAGATTTTACATCAAGAGTTGGAGGACTGGGCGGTGGAGTTTGCCACCAGTGCCGGGGATTACTCCCGAGTGATGACTCGGATCCATGGCAGCTGGCTGCCTCCATCCTCATTGTGCTGATCAGCATCATCCTCTGGTGTTTGTCAGAGGATCGACTGGTGTGAATAGAGAATCTATCCATACGGATGTCACAGTTTGATTCAGTCTATTCTGTCTTTTCTACCTTCAGTCTGCATTATGTAATGTGCCCTAAAGGATCGAAGGGATTATAGGTTGTTTATGTTTATCTGTTAGGGGTTTCATGCAAATAAAATTTAACAGCCTTTCTCTTTGAAAGAGGGATTTGAATGTTGCAGATGGGGAAATATCCTGGTGTAACATAAACTTGGCTTCTTTAAACTCACTTAAACTGTCCTTATCGTGTACCTGACCCTTCATGGAGTATCATACACTGCTTGTCCCTAGTCCCTAGTGTGCACTCTCTCCTTGTGGCACTGTGGGTCCTATTTTGCACATGTTTTGGGCAAAATCCAGATAGGGAAACAGGTTTTCTCTTCTTTGTTGTGTATTCTGAGTAAGGATATTTATTGCTTTTGCCAAGTGATGACTCCAGTCATGGTCTGTCTCAGCAGCGGTCTGGTCTCACTGCAGGTAAGAAGATGTTGGCGCTGGGCAAGAACCCCTTCCTCCATCATCCCTAGATCCTGGCCTGTCTTGAAACTGGTCCTCTCTACTGCTCGAGTCCACGGTTCCAGTTGGTTGGGCCAAGATGGTCAAATCCTTATTGGTCAGGGCTTGTAGAAACACTGACCATTGTTTTATGGGTCCCCTGCTATGGACCTGGAGAGTGGAAACCCCAACAGGGTATGTGTAGGGGGGTGTAATGGTGTGATTTATTGTTTTTGAAAAAGCTAATAAACAGCATCAGTTCACACAACACATCAAGGTACTGTATATTTAAACAGCCCCCACTGACATCTGATTAATTCGAAAGTCAGGGTGGAGGCTGGGAGAATGCTACTGGGGAAATCTGGGGAGTCTGAGTCAGGGTGGCAGAGAGAATCTATCAAGCAAGACTATCGGCTGCCCCTTGCACGATTGTTACAGATTTTGTTGTGAAATTGGGAATGTTTGTTGTACTGTTCAATTCTAACTACTAGAGATAAAGCATCTACTTTCAGCAGTTTTTTGTTGCTAACTGATAGAAATACATTCACTTAATCTGAATTCCCTTGACACTATATTTGAAGAATATAAAGTGACTAAGGTGACCGGTGTCTAAGGCGCACACATTTCCCACAGTCCCCTAAAGGGTGCTTCTGCCTACCCCCCAGGCCTGGTGGAGAATTATTAATGCAGTCTGTCTCTTTGGAAGCAACACTACACCGGCACACACGAGCCAGGCCATTGTAGTAATAAAGAGCGGCACACAGTCTTAAAAATAGCACCCTTGCCTCTCTCAGGCAATCATTTTTGCAGGCTCCTGCACATTCTAAATCCAGCCAAGTGAAGCAGGAAGTCTATTGATTTAAAGGAGCGAAGAGGGTTAGCAAGTATTTTATAAACAGTGCAAAAGACAGACCTGAGGCTTGAATCAGAGTGCATTTGTTAAAACAGTGTTTTGATACGGAACAAACTGTGCAAGGAAATAAGTAACTAAGCTAATTGCTGATCTTCCCTATGGGTCTTTTATCCCCTCTGCCTCAGCACTTTGTATTCAAGGTTCAAAAATTAATTATTGAATAGAATTAATTACTGTGCATGGTGCCATTTAATTAGATGCATGTAATCAGGGTGCTTTAAACACAGAGTTTTTCAGACTGGAGGTGATTTTGTTTGCTGACATTGTCCTATATAACCATTGATTTGAGGTTCTAACACAGATTGCACAATTGTGCCACTGTGTTGTCTCGGCTCAAGGAGAGAAAGTCAGAATGCATTTGTGCACTTTTCTGCACATTAACTTTGACTTAAATAATGCTGACTTGTAATCAGTATAATTTAAAGATGTGTATATATATATAATCTTCTCAGTAAAAACTTTAAATCTAGCCTACAGCCCCTCATACATTTAGGATTTCTGAGAATCTTGAGCAAAGCCCTGAGTATCGATCAGCTCAGCTTGGGTGTGGAACATTGTTCCTTGATCCCAGTGCTAGCCTAATGGATTGTTTGATTTTTTTCAATTGATCTGGACTGGATTGGCTTAAAACACCCCAGTTTTGCACAATTTAGGACTTCAGTGGAACTGCTGATTGCCCCATGGATGTGTTGAGGGGGGTGCTTTTATTTCAACAGAATGCACAGTACTCTAAAAGCAGAAGTAAAAACAGTAGTTATATCGCCTTTATTACTACCTACTATTATCGAATTACCAAACTTAAAATCTGCTTGTAATAAGTTATAGAAAAGGAGTATTGTAGTGATTTTGTTCACTGGGAGAAAGCCAAATGCTGTCTAAACGCAAGTGAGATTGTTCTTCTAAGGTTCAAATTATTTACAGCTAGTATTTTATGATACAGTGCCTCTTTTTCTTCAATTCTGCTTTTTTCTTCCTCTTGTTGCCTGGAACAAAGGGAAAAATCTACTTGTCTGCTTTTCAGAGGGTTGGACTGTCTAAAAATAAACATTATCCTATTTATAAATACTGAAAGCTGTGATATGCCTAATTGTATAATTTCACGTTTGTATCCGTTTGCAAGCATAAACATGTGACTGGGTAGAGCATCTTGTGATTTGTTTTTCGTTTTGCACCTCCACAACGAAACAATCCACTGGTACACAATTTACGATATTGACAGTGTTTCCAAAGGCCTGGTAGAAGAGAAGCACAACCCTCTGAGGCAAACTGCAAACTGCAGGCCCTGAAAGTCATTTGGCCATCTTGGAAGTGCAAGATATTTAATCTGAGTACTAGTGCTCCTGTTAAAATGGTGCTCTTTATTTCATTCCTTCGTATCTGGATTGATGATTTCCAGTATTAATGATAGAATGGGAAATTTGTGGCATAAGAAATTATACAACACCAATGATAGGGCATTGGTGTTGCT